AAAAAAAAATCAAATAGAATGCCACTTTCAAAAGTTCAATATACGTCATATACATTGTATTTTTGTATTTTGGAATTATTTTTGCTTGCTTATCTGCAAAAAGTACTCTATATTATTATCCTGAAAATCTTGGATTGTCTTCTTGTGTGCATGTATTTTGATTTTCTATAGTTTTGCAACTCCTCAAAAACTTAAGGATATCCTTTGGTACTCAAAAATTTTGTTTAATTCAACATTTTAGGAATCTACATATGAAAAATGTTTTATACAATGGAGTTTAATGATTATTCCTTTCCAAATATTTATTGTAAGGCTTTTTATTCATCAATCTGTCAGTAGCTTTAGGCATAAATTCATTACAGGTATCCACAGCTTAGAGTTAATGGGAAACCACTAAAAGGGCACAACTAGATAAACTGACAAAATATTTTTTCTATATTTTTTTGTTTTGGTGGATCCCAGGATTGGACTCAGGCCCTCGCACTTGCCAGGCAGTGCTCATTCTACTAAACTATCTCCCCAGCCCCAAAACTGACAAAATAAATATTATAAAATGTTTGCCTTTTCAGCTCACATTTTATATAAATGTGAAGTAGAAAAATATAAGAGAATATCACATAATATTTAAAATTTTGATATAAGTATTTTCTGAAGTATGCTTTAAATACATCATGCTGTTTGGAAATTTAAATAATGATGAAAATGTAAAATATTTTCAACTATAAAATAGAAGTCTATATTTCTCTGTCAAGAAATTTCAGTTATTTAAAATATCAAGCCTTCTCCTCTTTTTCTTTTTCTTTTTTTCCCCATAAACAAGTGTGGTATTGCAGGAGCTGGACTTTTGGATACTGTCTTAGTTTGCAAGAGCACTATGGACACAGCTCATTAACTGTCTTTTCTCCTTGTGCATAATAGATTTTATGGAAAAGAAATAGTAGTCAACACTGAAAGAACTTATAAAGGAAGAGAACCCACAGCTGGAAGCAGAGATAGCACACATTATATGGTTTTGCCAAATACTAAGCCATTTCATTCTTATTTTCTTTAAAATAACATTCCTAGCCTGAACTAGCAATTGCATTGCATGCATGGGATGGCAACTAAAAATACTCCCAGAAAGTAGAACATCTATTCTATTCTCAGATCTATATAACTGAAAGATGCTTTCTCAAATTAATACTCTCTTTATATGATTCTAATTCTATTAATGTAAAGTCAAAAACTACAAAGAAATTTCTTTTTCTTTCTTTTTTAAAAAGCTCACAACCTACCATAGAGTAATTGGGTAACTATTACTCAGGAAAATAGCTGTATTGTTTCCTAACTCAGTAGTGACTGATGTTAGAAAATTTGATATGTTAATGAGACATAAAGAAAACCGCTCAGGTTCTTAAAAATCAAATTCAATCCTTAGGAATTAGAAAGACAAATTATGCACCCAGTAATTTTTCACAAAATTTGACACATAGGACAAATTTTACTTTCAAAACTGATGAAATAAGACTTCAAAGGAAAGGACTTCTTTTGCAAAAGACGTTGCTAAGGTGCTTATTTTCCCTGTAGTCTGGTTACTCCAGTGTAGACCTAACAAGGAGTCATTGCCTCACCTTGAAGAACATCCTAATTAAAGCTTTCTTTCTTGCCTTGGCCAGGCCCACTTTTATACAAAGGTAAAGAAAAAAAAATGTTCTCTCCAGGTTGTTGTTTGATTTGTACATGACTGTAACCAAACAGATATTTGTAAAATGTGTTTGAGGAAAACAATATACCCTCCATATACCCTCCAAGAAGACATAGAAGACTGATGTAAGGCCAAGAGCGCAAAGCAGAGGGGCAGGGCTGCTGGTACCCACGTTGCGGAGGCCTGGTGCCTGCAGCTCGCTTCCTCTAATCCTATGCCAATAGATACTCTCACAGGAAGTGGAACAAGGACAGTAATGAAACACATGACTGTAGCCTCCCTACTTTATATCTCATCCATTCATCAATAGTTAATGAGTCCCAATCACTGCCAGCAATTTATGAGATGTGGAGCTAAGACTGAACAGAGGATGACAGAGGAGAGTTTGTCACTAGCTCTTTCCTTTCACTGTCTCTCAAGAAGCAATGCAATCCCTAAGAGTAGAGATTTATCACCTCACTGGGTTCGGGCTGTAGTCCTGTAGTTGTACTATTATATCACAGAGCCCTCTACTGGCGATAACACATATTTCATCAGAGATGAAAACTAAAATACTCAAATAGTGAAATGTTACAAGGTTTTACCTCTGAATGAGCCTTTTCTTCAGCCTGTGGAAGGTGAGAGAGAGAGAGAGAGAGAGAGAGAGAGAGAGAGAGAGAATTTTAACTATATGAATTTATGTCTATTCATTATACATTTAATTAAAAGAAATAATTATACTTTAATATTTTGTGATCAAATATAGCAATGTAAAATGCATACCAGTTTTAAATCATGATACTAACAACTGATTCCTACAGGCTTTAAAATGATATTACTTTTTACATATAAAGCATAAATCACTTTAAAATATGGGTAACTTGATTCATGAATATGCATTATGCTTAAAGAAGGATAGAATTAAAGGCTAACATCTGGAGCTTAACATACTGTTTGTTATGAAATGATGCCTTAAAAATATGGGTGCATAGAAAAATGAAATATTGTAATTTTTATACAGATTATAGAAATGGGTTCAATGACTCCAAGGCCCTTTGACCAACATGTTGGAGTAAGAACTTCATTCTATGATGTGTATATTATAAAGAATGCCAAATAAAGCTGGAGGAAAAATTGACCTCTACTGATAATGACAAGGGAACAACAAGTCA